GGGGGGGGCGGGGGGGGGACACGCGGGCGTGTCCTCCCCCAAGCGAAGGGGAGGGCCCTAGATTGAGCCCGGGGTCCTTGGAGCTCCCACTTCTCCCCAGATTTTATCTCTCTGCTGCAGGTCTGGGAAGGGTACAACGTGGTCAGTGCTTCGAGGACCATGATAGGACATACTGACTCTGCTGAGGCTGCCCCTGGGACCATTCGGGGAGACTTCAGTGTCCACATCAGCAGGTACAGGGACTCTGACACATTCGGCCCCCCTCTGGGGGGTGAGGAGGGCCAGTTTTGGGTGGCAGCCTGCTCCTAAGGCAAGTCCATGAGACCTGGGTGTTTTGCTGGGCGGAAGGTTAAGCCAGAAGAGCCTTTTGATGGTGGGACACATCTAATGTCGGAGAGAGCAGTTTTTTCACAGCCCTTTCACTCACATGGGAGATGATAAAGCACTCCCTTTGTGCTGTATGTGTACTCTGTCACGTACACTGCTATCTGACTATCTTGCCAGACACCCCAAGGGTTGGGATGGGACAACTGGTGGGGAAACGAGGCTCCCAGAAGCTGGAGTTTGGACTGGTCTATGAGATTGTAAGAAGCTGAGGCCAGGCTGGAACCCAGTTTTCCAGCTTCCCTGTTATTCCTTTCCCCTCTGCACAATCACCCCCCTTGCTCCCCCAGGCACAGGGCAGTAGACTGTCTCTGGGACCCCCCTCATGGTGCATACTGAAGCCTGAGCCTTACCTCTGCTGCCTGTCACTTGCCACAGGAATATCATCCATGCCAGTGACTCTGTGGAGGGAGCCCAGAGAGAGATCCAGCTGTGGTTCCAGAGCAGCGAGCTGGTGAACTGGGCAGATGGGGACCACCACAGCAGTGTCTATCCAGCCTGAGGGTCAAGCTGCCCTTGGCTGCCCCAGTGTGTACTCGGGACCAACTACCTCCATCAACAAGAACTCAAGGCCACACCCACACCCGACTCTCCCAGACCACTTCCCTGTCCATTTTCTGACCCATTCCAGCCCAGAGTTTGAGCCACCAACTTTATGTGCCTTTCTGTATCCTAAGCCAATACAAGATTGGACCAGATGCTTTCTGTACCAAAGTGCCCAAAAGCATTTGGGATGTTTTCAAAAGTGGGTAGTGTGACCTCCCCTCCCCCAAAGGAGAGACATTAAAATTCACTGTGCTGAGCCTGGGGTGGTGCACTCATTCTGCCTTCTGCCATCTCTGAGGTAGGAATGACACTTTTATGCAAGTTTTAAGCAGTTTACGAGTAAAAAGGAAGCTTACTGTCCAGCACACCCAGGAGGGGATCCATAATTTTTGACTGTATGAGCCAGGCAGGGATCCAGAGACCTCCAGCCTGAAATCCGAGAGAGTTCAAGCTGAGCCCCAGGCTTGGTGCTGTCCCAGCCCCCATTCATCTGAGCCGGCTGTAGGAGGAGCACCCTGGGCAAGAAGGGAGGCTGCAGCTGGAGCGGGCAGAAGGGGCAGGTGGGGGCTGAGAACACCCCAGGGCAGAAAGCCTGGTGACCATGGTCTTCCCTGCTTTGTGGCCTCACCCCACCCCCGAGTGCTGAAGTCGCTTTTCTCTACAGCCTAGGTGTGTCTCTGTTCACTTGTCACAGGCAGCAGACACTTCCTATCATTGCACCTGTTGAGGCCTACTCGGTCATTACTTATTCTTTTCGATATTGGTGACGGATGTCTAGTCCTGGGTTCACGGCATCGGCCACTGCCTAAGCCTCCGCATGACGGCAGAGATGTGAAAAAGGCTCAGGGTTAGGGAAAGCTCGAGTTAACGGATCTCGGTCGTGGGAACGGGCCCGCTGCACCTCACTGCGCCTGCGCGCGGGCCCGGACCGACTTCTCGTCCCAGCAGGCCGCGCGCAAGTCGGGACGAGAGCCGCGGGAGGCGTGGCTGTGCGTCAGGGGCGGGGCGGTGGGGCAGGGCGAGGCTCGCTGCAGGCCGCTGGTTGTAGGCTCCGCAGTTCTTGTCGTCCTCGCCTCCTCCAGCGCTATGGCCCAGCCGCCGCCTGACGTGGCAGAGGACCATTGTCTCCCTGAGTATCGCCACCTCTTCTGTCCGGACCTGCTCCGGTGAGCTGCGAGCGGGCCCGCTCCGGGCGCCCGGGGAGGCAGCCACCGGAGGGCTGTCTCGGGGACTGGGTGGGGACCGCGGGTGGGCGGCCCTGGGACGCAGTGCCCCGCAGCTCGCCTTGGTACTGCCGAGAGCACGTTTGTGTGTGCCGGCCGGTGTCTGCGGGCGACCCCAGCAGTAAAGCCTTCTTTGATCTTCAGGCTTGGGAGTCCTGGGAGAGTGGGGTGAGGGACCGCTGGGAAGATTTCTGTGTTTAGAAAACATGTCTCACTTGGTAACTTTCTGAATAGAGAATTTTAGGTTAAGATCGTTTTACCTGAAGACCCAGAAAGCCTGGGAATGCCAGGTTTTAAAAAGCAGCTTTTTATTTTCTTCTTACAAGAGTCATGCATGGGGCTGGCCAGCTCTCTGAGCGGGTTAGAGCGTGGTGCTAGTAACACCGGGGTCCAGGGTTCAATCCCTGAACTGGCAAGCCTCTAAATTAAAAAAAAAAAAAAGTTATGCCTGTTCCTTGTCAGCATTCAGAGTGATAGCAGTTACCAGTTCAGAGAGTCAAAGTCCTCTGTGGGACACCCCCTGTCTTCTGCCCAGTTAACAGAGACCTTTTTTTGGCAGCTGGCTGGTACAGAGATGGAACCTCGGACCTTGGTGTTCTCAGCACCACGTCTAACCCACTGAGTGAACTGGCCAGCCTAATAGAGCCCTCTTTAAGGAGGCTTCTTTTTTTTCTTCTCTCAGGGACAAAGTGGCCTTTATCACGGGCGGGGGCTCTGGCATTGGGTTCCGGATTGCTGAGATCTTCATGCGGTGAGCACTGCTCTGTGCATCTTCCTGTCTCTCTCTTCTCCTTGCCTGGACCCTGCTGGATCTTGGGACTCTTTGACAAGATGCTAGTGGGTGGATGAACTCCTCCAAGGAATGGGACCATGGATGTCACCCACCTGCCCAACAGGGTCAGGAGCTCATAAGAGGGTCTAGGGAGGGGTCAGGTGCTACCCTGTGGGGAGGCAGGACTCCAGGCTCTCCTAAAGGTCAGTGGAGACTGTGTGGCTCTGGCCTTGAGGCCTCCTGGGGCCTGCGGGGCTGGGGTCAGGGTGTTCGGTGCCAGACCGCCATGCCATGCAGAGCACAGTGTCTCACGGGACACAAGTTCTGTAACCTAGCTAGAGGTCAGCAACTTGTCACCCCACTTGGCAGAGGCCCTGAGTTAGGCCGAGGTGGGGGAGAAGGACCCTTCCCCATTTCCCCCCAGGCCCCCATTTTTCTTTTTTCTTTTTTTGGGCAGCTGGCTGGTATGAGGATCTGAACCCTTGACCTCGGTGTTATCAGCACCACGCTCTACCGAGGGTGTAACCAGCCAGCCCAGTCCCCCATTTTTCATACCAGAGAAGTTAGTCCCACAGGAAGAGATTTTTAGATTCTCTGAGCAGAGCATGGCCATCTGTGCTCAGGGTCATTTTGAGGATTAGGTGGGATAGTGCAGCTCCCATGGGACCTGCTCAGCAGTTGGCAGCTGCTGTTGTCATGTTGAGGCTCAGTTTGTCTGGAGGTGGTGCAGGTAAGCACCCTGCCTCAGAATGGACTCTATCTTTCACTCCAACCCCACAGATAGAGGGGGACTGGGCATGTGGAGCTGAGCCAGGGGGACCCAGCAGGCTCTATGCAGATATTTGGCCTGGAACTGTGGCCCTCAGCTGCCTCTGTGCCATGTACATGGTGTTTGGGGCAGGACCCGCATGCCTGTGTGACTGGGCTACCCTGTGCCAGAGAGTCCTAGAAACTCCAGAGTGGGCAACAGCAGCACCCACCTGAGGTCCAGAGCTGCTCGGCTCTGCTTAGGCCCTGTGCTCTCTGCCAGCTGTGCCTTCAGCCCTTGACTGGTACTTCTGCCTAAGAAACCCTGGGAGAGCTCTGCTTAGAGCAGCTGGGAGGAGCCCACCTGGGTGTGTCCCACACACCTTCATGCCTGCTGTCTGGTTTTGCAGGCATGGCTGCCACACGGTTATCGCCAGCAGGAGCCTGCTCAGAGTGTCAACGGTGAGAGGGCCTCCTGTGGCCCTGTCCACGGGTGGCACTGGGTGTCCTGAGCCTGGGCTGGGAGAGTCCTTAGGCCCAGGGGATGGTGATACCTGTCCCAAATATGGAGATTCAGTGCAAGTGGTCCCCCAGAGATAGCCTGAGCTTTTTTAAAAATGTGATTATTGAGTTCTGTGAAGTGCTCTCTCATATGGAGGGTAATGTGCCCCAAGAGAGATCTCTGGACCCACAGGGTTATGAAGGTGGTTCACATGTCCCACTCATCTTGGTCTTTGACATAGGAGAGTCTCACTAGTGCCATGGCTGGCCTCAGGCAGGGATGGGAAGTCAGCTGAAGCTGCTGTTGGCAGTTGACCGGTGATGGTAGTAGCCTGGAGGGTGATGTGGAGGAAGGATTCAGGGACAGGCGGCAGATGGTGATAGAGAGTGTGGGATGTCCTAGAAATGTCCACCAGGGGTCCTGGCCCCAGGGAGTAGCCACTTGTAGGCTTTGCCTCCCCAGAATGGAGTCCAGCAGCCATCCCAGGGTCACAGTAGAACCTGGATACATTGTCCTCACCAGATTAAGGCTGTTTCTCCAAGCCAAGGTTGCTGGGCTGCTGTTCACCTCTCTCTCCCTGTCTGGCTTCTAGGCTGCTAAGAAGCTGGCTACTGCTACCGGCCAGCGGTGCCTGCCTTTATCTATAGATGTCCGAGCTCCTGCAACTATCATGGCTGCTGTGGACCAGGCACTGAAGGACTTCAACAAAATTGACATTCTTGTTAACTGTGAGTTGGTGTTGAGTGAACCCAGGGAGCTTCTGACAAGTCAGCAATCCTGTTGGGAGGGGTAGGGACTGTGCCAGAGAGCCGAGGTGCCTGCCCCAGGCTCACCTGCACCTGTTCCAGGTGCGTGAGGCCGAGACCTAGGCTCCAGGCCTCTGCACCAGCCCTGAGTCTGCTCTCTCCGGGTGGTGGGTCTGCACAGCCTCAGCTCGAGTGGACGCCCTATAAACATGACTGAATCAGAGTCACCAGTGCTCTGTGTTCTGCAGTCACCTTTACAAAAAAGCGATAGACTTAATTTTTTTTGGTATGGTTTTAGATTTACAGAATAATTAAGCAAATAGTATGTAGAATTCCATATACCATCCCCCATAGTTTCCCCTATTATTGACATCTTGCATTTATTACCATTAGTGAACCAGTATTGATATGTTATCATTAACTATAGTCCATAGTGTACATTAAGGTCCACCCTTTGCTGAAATTCCCTTTTAAAAGCATTCCTTGGGCCGGCCCAGTGGCGCACTGCTACAGTGCGCCGCTTGAGGGCGCGGCGGCGCTCCCGCCGAGGGTTCGGATCCCACATACAGACCGGTTCCTGCTCACTGGCTGAGCGAGGTGTGGGCGCAACAACGAGGGTTGCGATCCCGTTGCCGGTCCGGTCTGGTGCGGGCGCGACACTGAGGGTTGCGATCCGTTGCCGGACACGAAAAAAAGACAAAAAGGAAAAAAAATAAATAAATAAAAGCATTCCTTGTATTGGTTTTTTGGAGCTAATAAAGTATCACGACTTGGGTGGCTTACAACAACAGAAATGTTAACTTCTCACAGTTCTGGAGGCTACAGAACCAAATGAAGGTGTCCGCAGGGCCGTGCTCTCTCTCAAGGCTCTAGGGGAGAATCCGTCTCATGCTTTTATCTTGGCTTCAGTGGTTGCGGGCGATCCCTGGCATTGCCTGGCTTGTTGACGTGTTGTTCCACTTCCTACCACCCTCTGCTCACGGCCTTCTCCTCCGTGTGTCTGTATGTTCTCTCCTTTTCTTATAAGGACACCAGTCATTGGATTTAGGTCTTATTCTAACTCACTGCAACCTCAACTTAACTTGATTACATCCACTGATACCAAGGGCTAGGACTTCAGCATATCTTTGGGAGGGACATAATTCAACCCATAACATCCCATCTTACTCCTTTCGTTCAGGAGTTTATCCAAATGCTTGGGCCTTCTTCCCTGTCCAGCTTGGACCACCCTGAGGGTTTGTAAGCTCTAACTGTCCACGGGGCATCTGGGCTCCATCCTGCACCCTCCCACCAGGGCTGCTGCCCACCCAGCACCTTGTTTCCCCAGGGCTCCAGCACTCCCTTCTGTCTCCTACTCTGCAGGCGCAGCTGGAAACTTCCTGTGTCCTGCCAGCACACTGTCCTTCAATGCCTTCAGGACTGTGATGGAGATCGATACCATCGGCACATTCAACGTGTCTCGTGTGCTCTATGAGAAGTTCTTCCAGGTGGGTGTCCTCCCCTCTGGCCAGGGCCTCCCCTCTTCCTGCTGCCTGCTCACCGCCCCACCCCTCGTGTGTTTCAGGACCATGGAGGGGTGATCGTGAACATCACTGCGACCCTGGGCAACCGGGGGCAGGTGCTCCAGGTGCACGCAGGCTCTGCCAAGGCGGCTGTGGGTACGGCACCCCTCTCCTGACCATCCGTGGGGCCCAGCAGTGTGTACGTGAGGCTGAGCCCGGCTGTGGGCAGCAGAGAGGCCTGGTCTTGGCCCAGGGCCCCCACTCAAACCCAGGCCACCCCAGAAGGCGGAGCGGCCCTGCATTCTCCCCTCATATCTGCCTTTCTTCTGTGCAGATGCAATGACACGGCACTTGGCTGTGGAGTGGGGTCCCCAGAACATCCGCGTCAACAGCCTCGCCCCTGGCCCCATCAGTGGCACAGAGGGGTTCCGGCGACTAGGTAAGGCTCTTGGGGTGTCCAGGCCTTCCACGGACCCTCCCCTGGGTCACGGGGCACCCATGGAAGCTTTCAGAACCTTGGTAGGGTATATATTGAAAAGCCCTATGCAGGCACTCTATGCTTGGCCTGTTCCTGCTCCACTAGGCGTTGGTGATACTAACAGTGCCTCTGCCATTCCCGGCTGTAGTTCCGGGAAGGAGCTGGCTGGGGAGAGCGAGGGGCTGTGGAGTCCTGGCTTCACAGTGGCCTGAGCCTTCTGCTGCCCTCCAGGTGGCCCCCAGGCCATCATGAGCACACAGGTCCTTGGAAGCCCCCTGCAGAGGCTGGGGAACAAGACTGAGGTGGCCCACAGTGCCCTGTACCTGGCCAGCCCCCTGGCATCCTACGTAACAGGGACAGTTCTGGTGGTTGATGGTGGAGTGTGGCTGACGGCTGCAAACAATATCAAGAGGCTGGCGGATTTTGAACTTTTCTCTGCTAAGCTGTAGGTGAGTTCTGCTCCTGCTTCTTGGGGCCACCTGTATCCTTGGTTGCCCCCTGCCCTTGCCCTGCCAGGTGCTGCTGTGGAATTGAGGGCAGGTCTCTGCAGGACCATCCTCCCCATCCTCCCTGCACCAGCCCCAGCCTGACCACATGGGGGTGCTGCCCCAGTGGGCTGATACAGTCCCCACAGACTGTGCAGGAGACGGGGGCTGGTGCTGCTCGATCTTCCCTGGTGACTGTGGCCTCTGCCGACATTTCTGGCAGGTGTGAATGGCCAAGGCGGAGGTGGTGTTCTGAAGAGGAAGCGGTCGTCAGCGTGCTCCTGAGTTCCCAGGACACCTCCTGCAGGGCTCTTCTGGAGAACTTCCTCCCTTCCCTTCCCTGGTACATAGCCAAGCCAAGAGTGCTAAATCCAAATCTCGCAATCCTAGCAGCCCAGCCCTTCCTCTGGGGACCGAGCTGTTCCCACACTCTCCTTCCCATGGCCCCACCTTCCCAGCAGGATCGACCAGGTAGTGAGCTTGGCCTGCTGACCTGTCCCTGCGGTGTCTGACCAAGAGCCAGGTGGGAGTGGTGATACGGCCAACATTCGAGGATGTCCCCCTGCCCGTGGTCAGGGGCTGTCCCGCCTGCCTGTCCTTCCCAGCCCCAGCTCTGGGCTGTCCTCCTAACTCCTCCTGCTTGTGTTCAGTGGATGTTCCTTGAAAGCTGCCCCTGCCTTGGATGGAGAGCAGCCACCACTGCCAGGCTTGGTGTCCTGGGTCCCCTTTGCCGGGGGGTGCAGGCTGAGGGACGGTATCCCCTGCGTGCCCTGGGGCACCCACAGGGGCCTCCCCAGTGGGTTTTGGTTCTCTGTCATTCAGGGGCTGACTTTCTAGGCCCTCAGGTGGCTGGTCCCTGTCACCAGCACCTTCCCTCAGGCCCCGGGGGATTGGGAAATTCCAGCCTATCTTTCGTTCATTTCATGGTGGCTGTCAATGTCTGGGTCCTGGACCTGAGGCTTGTTTTCTATTCTGTGGTTTAAAAAGTCCAGGTTGTTCTTGTGTCTGTCACCTGTGAGCAGCTGGCCCACAAGGTCCCACCCTTCACTGTCTCTGTACCACTGGCTTGCAAAGCATGGTTCCTAGAATTTTGACAGAAAATGCATTTTCTTAAAAAATAATCTTTTTTCTATAAAAACAACTATTCATTCGACTTCGCATATAGAAGGAAAAGGAAAACAATTAAAAAGGATCCCTGGTGATCTTGTCATTCAGAGGTAGGGGTTATGTTTCCTTCCTGCCTTTTTTCTGTGGAGTTTAGAAAACTCTTCTTTTTTTTTTTAAAGATGACCAGTAAGGGGATCTTAACCCTTGACTTGGTGTTGTCAGCACCACGCTCAGCCAGTGAGCGAACCGGCCATCCCTATATGGGATCCGAACCCGGGGCCTTGGTGTTATCAGCACCACACTCTCCCGAGTGAGCCATGGGCCAGCCCCCTAGAAAACTCTTCTTGCCGGATGCTCAAAGCCCCCATCCTCAGGCCCAGAAGTCTCCTCTCTCCTCCTCCAAACTCCCAGCTCAGCGCTACTCAAAACCCCCAAATGTTTTCAGCCTTTACTTCCTGAGAGAGAGGAGAAAGGGTTTGGTATCTTGATAGGGTTCCACCCTGCCCCATCTGGTAAACACAGTAGTCAGCTCACAGGTGTTCAGTCGGCTTCAGGAGACTTCATCTCTTTTCTTTTCTCTCATGTGCTGAGTCGCAGGAAGTCACCACACGCTTTTCTCCAGACTGATGTGTTGACGAAGGTATCACTGCACTGGGGACTTCAACATGTGGGTTCTAACCTGTAAAACAGAACAGCCATAGTTACCCCGTAGGAGGGTTAGAAGTGGCAGGTGCTTTTTTGCCAGCAGCAGCCCAGTGGCGGCAATGCTCTGGGAGTTTCAGCCAGAGCCCTTCTGTTGGCAGCATTGGAGCCACATTCATATCCACAGCACCCCTGTGCCCAGCCTTGTTCAGCTTCCCTGGAGAGTGCAGAGGTGGCCTCTGTGGGGTCTTGTCAAAGTAAGAGACTGAAGGGCCGGCCCGGTGGCGCACTCGGTAGAGTGCGGCGCTTGGGAGCGTGGCGGCGCTCCCGCCGAGGGTTCGGATCCCATATAGAGACCGTCTGCTCACTGGTTGAGCGTGGTGCGGGCGCAACACTGAGGGTTGCGATCCTGTTGCCGGTCGTGGTACAGGCGCGACACTGAGGGTTGCGATCCTGTTACCGGTCACGAAAAAAGACAAAAAGGAAAAAAAAAAAAAAAGAGACTGAAAACTACAACCACAGGCAACACCAAATGCTTCAGTGGCCCTTGAGTGTGGAATTAGCTGGGCTCACAGTTAATGTCAGCCAGTGCTTTGGGAATCACACAGGTGCACCATCTGTGGGGCTGAGTCACACATCCTTCACCTGGAGCCTGTCTGTGGACCTTTGTTTCAGGATGGAAACATCCTGTTCCCCGATGCAGCTGGTGAGGAGGGTGGGATGTTGGTTCCTGAGCCATCCCTGTCAAGGAAATGGGCCCCAGGAGGAACCCCTTCTGAGCAGCACACTCCTGGAATGAGCCAGAAAGCCAAGTGTGGTTTCAGCAAGATGCCCAATTTATTTATTTATTTTTAAAGATGACCGGTAAGGAGATCTTAACACTTGACTTGGTGGTGTTAGCACCATGCTCTCCCAAGTGAGCTAACTGACCATCCCTATATAGGGATCTGAACCCGTGGCCTTGGCGTTATCAACACCACACTCTCCCAAGTGAGCCACGGGCCGGCCCCCAATTTACTTTTAAGCCACACAAAGAAATATGAGGCTGGCCTTGACCCCATTCCTGATTTGGAAACCTGCTCTCTCAGTATGGGGACCAGCCATTGGAGACGAGGGGCTGGCTGGGCCAATGGATAGCCCAGAGGAGCCAGGCAGGGGGACAAGACCTCTCTACAGGGCAGCCGCAAGCCATGTCCCTAAGAGAGCCCCTCACCCTGACAAATTCCCAGCTTGCTCTTGGTCAGTCCTCCCCACTGAGTGCTGTGCATGAGACACTCTGGCTGCTGTTCCAGCTCCGCCCCAGGTGACCCTTTAGTCCGTGAAGAAGGCTGCCCCTCCCAGTCTTCCCGGGACCATCCTAGCTTCCACGCTAAGGAGCTCCTGTGTCATGGGACCAGATGTGATGGAGTCACGTCCCCAAGGAGGCAGAGGGAAAAAAACCCCAAAACATTAAAAACAGTTACTGGGAAGGGAGCTGCTGAGGCAATTATGAGGCCTTCAGAAATGCTGAGAGAGCTCTCTGGCCTGCGGTTCAGGACTGCTGTCCTTCAGAAACACCATCACTGTCTTGAAGACACAGAAAATGGCAGGTTACGGGCTGGCAGGTTATCCAGTTGGTTAAAACGTGGGGCTGATAACCCCAAGGTCCAAGGTTTTGATCCGTGTTTGGCCCAGCTGCTAAAAAAAAAAAAAAAAAAAAAGAGCCCAGTTCTCTGAAAAGAAGGGTAGTCTTTTATAGGTGAACTTGGGGAGGGAGTGTTCTGAAAGCTTAGCTGTGGAAGCTGACGTACAGGCCCTGATGCCTCTGAGCGTGCTCCTCGGATGCGGAAGAAGGAGTTTGACTTTCATCCTTTGAAAACTACATAACACCAGCTGGGGCACAGGGCAGCAACCCTCAGAAAGGCCACCATCTGGGGTAGGGTTCCCAGCCCCTTTTCCATGTCTTCATCAGTGTTCTGGGAACAGATGCACATTTTGGGTTTTTCTCCCATAGCCACCATTGATTATCTCACCACAAGGCGCAATACACAGAGCTTTGAGCATCTGATGCAGCTGTCGTGACAGGATGCACCACAGCTTTGGCACTTGATCGTGGCTCTCAGGCTGCAGGCACTCTACAGAAAGATGCTTTCCACCAAGATGCACATTTTTGTTTTTTGGTTTTTTAAAAAGATGACTGGTGAGGGGATCTTAACCCTTGACTTGGTATTGTCAGCACCAGGCTCTCCCAAGTGAGCCACGGGCTGGCCCTGAGATGCACGTTTTTAAAAGCATTGTGTGCTGCATCTGTTGAATGAACAGAGGAAAGAATATGACCCTGTTCACCCCCTACCCTGTTGTGAGCCATGCGGTTTATTTCTGAGACATCACTATGATCCACAGGTGGCAACAAACATCTGGGTGTGTTGATCTGTGTATATACAGAAAGTAAAGAAACCTTTAAATTGCCCAAAATAAACAGTGCTGATTTCGGGGGAGCTCCTCTCTGCTGGCTTCTGTTGCCATGGTAACTTGGTGCAGCCTGACTGTGGCTTGTGCATGCCACAAGCCCCAGCACCAATGCCTGTTTCCCACGTGCAGGGATCTGGCTGGATACCTCCTCGCTTTGGACATGGTCCACCCACCAAGTTTGCAGTAGCACCTGCTCTGACCAGGGGTTCTGGGGACCCAGAAAGGAGTATGTGCTGATCCTCTAGGGGAGGGGCCGGTGCCCCCAGCCATGGCTTCCTGTCTTCTCCCCGCCTTGCTTCGGTGCACATAGGCTTGCCAGCTGAGTGAAGGCAGGGAGAGTGAGGTGAGGAATCCCGGAGAACCTCCTCAGTCATGACATTTTGAGGTTCAGCAGATACTCCTCTGTCCTCTGACCTCCACATCATTTTGTCTTTATCCTGTGGGACAGACCAAGCCTGCCAAGCAGTGGTCAAGCCCCCAGCCTGGGCTGCATGTCCAGTGAGCGGCGGCCTGTTCTTGCCTGGCTCTGTACCGAGGTCTGAATGTGCCTCAGCTAGGCATCAGAGTCCTCTTGAGCAGGGTAGGCAGGCGCTGCAGGGTCAGGGCTTCCCGGGCTGACTTCAGCTCAGTGCTGGGGCATCAGCACCCGAGGGGCATTTCCCCTGGCACGTGTCAGGCAGTTCTCTGTTGGACACATGTGACAGAAACACACTCTGGCCCTTAAGATCCAAGGATAGGAATGTATGGGAGGATCCTGGGTTTCCTCTGGGGTTCCAAGGGAGGGATACCCCAGAGCTGAGGGGTGAGGCAGACATGGAGCTCCCGGGTGTGAGCCTCCCTTCTCTCACCCCTGCCTGGCCCTGTGAGCCTGAGCCTGCCCCTCGATGCAGCCCAGCCCCAATCCTAGCCCTGGCCACAGCCTGTACAAGCTGTAGCTCAGACCCTGGAGAGAGAGACAGCGTTCCTTTTGTCACACTCATGTCCAGATTGCTGAGGAAAGATGCAGATTTGCGGTTTGGGTCAGGTGTCTGGCTCTCATTCAATAAACCACAGCCAAGGGTTGACCTCACCCTGTGAGTGCAGCAACTCCCACTTTAACCGTCAGCACGGAAAGGGGCAGCTCCTATAAAATATGTCAGCAGACCACCCAGGGTGGGTCCTGACACCGGCCAAAGTCACTGCAGACCAACATGTAGCCCAGCATGCTGTTTCCTCTGTGTGTGTGTGCACGCGCGTGCGCCTTTTCACCAATCACATGACTCTCAGGTCTCCTCTTTGGTGCCTGGGTACCCAACAGGTGTCTGTCAAGGAAGAAATGAGAAATATTTGTCAGAAATACTAAGAATTAAATTTTAACTCTCCCACCACCACATGTAATTTGGACAATTTTTACACTTTGGGGAGGAGAGTGATGTGGACTAAACCTTCAGCTCTTAGTATAAGGTGACGGGAGGCTAAGAGAAGGGAGCCCTGCATTCATGTATGAACCTGTCCTCCTCAGCTCCTGGGCATCCATCCCCAGGCTGTGGTTTTGGCCTCAGGCCAGGTGTGGTGGGTGCAGAATGTGGACTCTAAGGAGCACCAGGCACAGTGGGAACTGGAGATGCTTTGTCATCACAGGAAGCTAGGAAGCAGGTGCTAGAGCTTCAGAGTGCAATGTTAAAATAAGAACATCATCAAAACTTGGGCTGAGTCAGGAGGAATTAAACTGTGCCTCACAAACTCATGTTCTATTTTTGCTCTAAGGAATGTGCTTTACCAAATTTGAAGGTGTGAGAAAAAAATCCTTCCCTACTGAATAAAATATCAGTAAACGCGAGTGGGGCTCTGTGGTCTCAACTGCTGGAGGCCACGTGGGGAGAGTGTGATCCAGACCTAACACTGACTTTACTCTCAGTCTACTTACTTATTTATTTTTTTTTGTCTTTTTCCGTGTCCGGCAACGGATCGCAACCCTCAGTGTCGCCCCCGTACCGGACCTCAGTCTACTTATTGAATACAAAATGTTAATCTAGTTTTCAAAATTGTGAATTTAAAATATTTGGCAGGCAGTGTTTGTTTATAGCCTTATTGTGGTATAATTGACATGCTATACACTTCATATACGTGGAGTGTGTAATTTGATGAGTTCTGACATATGTCTGCATCCATGAAACCACCAGCACAATCAAGGTTAGGAATGGGCCCATCACCTGCCACGCCTTTCCTTGCCCCTGGTAATCCCTCCCTCTCACCTCTCCCCACCCCATCAAACTCAAGTGACCGTGGATCTGCTCTCTGGCACTGTAGGTGAGCTTGCATTTTCTAGAATTTTATATAAGTGGAATTACACAGTATGTACTTTTTTCTGTCTGGCTTTTTTTATTGAACAGTATTATTTTGAGATTCATTCACAATGCTTGTAGTGGGTTGAATTATGTCCCCCAAAACTCACTGAAGCTTGAATTGTGTCCCTCGAGTTTTATGTATTAGAAACCTGGCCCCCACTGTGATTGTTAAGAGAGTGGAAAATCCTATTATGGTAATTGAAAGGTTAGATTGTAGGACCCTGCAGTAGTGAATGATTAAAAATGGTGGTCAGGGGTTCTGAGGGACTTAAAAGAAGAGAGAAGAGAGTCTGTTTCTCTCTGCTCTCTCTGTCATTTTGCAATATGATACCCTGCGTCACTGTCACCATCACCAAGACCCTCACTAGATGAGTTCCCTGGACCATGGACTTCCCAGACTCCGAAACTGTAAGCAGTACATTTTATTTTCTTTATAAATTACCCAGTTCTGTGTGTTTTGTTATAAGCAACAGAAACGGACTAGTACAATGCTGTATGTACCAATAGTTCACTCCTTTTCGTTGCAGAATTGTATTCCATGGTATTCATTCTCCTGTTGATCAGTGTGTGGGTTGTTCCCAGTTTGGGGTTATTACAAATAAAGCTGCACCACAGATACTGGCTTTCATTTTTCCTAGGTACCTAAGAGTGGAATGGTCACAGGGCCAGGTCATATGGTCGATATATATTTAATTTTAAAAGAATCTGCCTTATTATTCAACCTTAAAAAAGGAGATAACTGCCATTTTCGACAACATGGATGAACCTGGAGGACGTCATGCTGAGATAAGCCAGACACAGAAAGAAAAATACTTCACAGTATATTGTGGAATCTTAAAAAAAGTCAAATACATAGAAACAGAGTAGAATGGTGGTTATTGGGGCGAGGAGGGGGAGGGTATGGGGCAATGTGGGTCAATGGGAACAAACTTACAGTTACGTAGGATAGATAAGTCTAGAGATCTAATGTACAGCAGGACTACAGTTAATAATACTGCATTATATACTGAAAAATTGCTTAGAGAGTAGATTTTAGATGCTCTTACCACATGCAAAAAAAAGAGTAACTGTGGAAGGTGATGGAATGTTAATTTGCTTACCTGTAGTAATCATTTCACAATGTATATATATATCAAAACATGTACACCTCATATATACACAATCAAAAATACATTAATTGAAAAAAAAAGAGTATGGGGCTGGCCCATGGCTCACTTGGGAGAGTGTGGTTCTGATAACATCAAGGCCACGAGTTCGGATCCCTATATAGGGATGGCCGGTTAACTCACTTGGGAGAGCGTGGTGCTAACAACACCAAGTCAAGGGTTAAGATCCCCTTACCGGTCATTTTTTTTTTTTTTTTCCTTTTTTGTCTTTTTTCGTGACCGGCAACGGATCGCAACCCTCAGTGTCGCGCCCGTACCGGACCGGGACCGGCAACGGGATCGCAACCCTCGGCGTTGCGTCCGCACCTCGCTCAGCCAGTGAGCGGCCGGTCTGCATGTGGGATCCGAACCCTTGGCGGAGCGCCGCCGCGCTCCCAAGCGGCACACTGTAGCAGTGCGCCACCGGGCCGGCCATACCGGTCATTTAAAAAAAAAAAAATATGTCAGACTGTTTTCCAAAATGGTCAGAATGTAAAATGGTGCAGCCACTTTGGAAAACAATCTGGCAGATTTTTAAGAAATTATATACGCACTGACTGTATGACCTAGCCATTCCATTAATAGTGCCCAGGAAAAATGAAAGACATGTTCACGCAGCAGTCTTCCTGTACAAGGAATTCCAGAATCAGGATGGCTGGACAAAGGCCAAAGCCCTTCCTTCCTTCCTGTGTCCAGGACAGCAGTTGGGTGATGTGAGGGCTGAGAAGGTGAACTGTGATGCCTGATGAGACTTGACTCTTCCGTCACCATGGAGATAACAGGCAAGTCCAGGTGGAGACTGCACCAGCTCCATGTGGTGCTGTGGATGGGAGAGGAGAGCACCAGGCTCTCGGCAGGGAGAGGTTGGAGGACATTTTTGGGGGATGTCTTCTCTGCACCTTTACAGGAGGGAGAAGGCTCCCGAGCTGCAGGAAGAGGATGGGTTTGGGCACTGTGGGGAAGAATGCAGGGGTAGTCGGGTGCAGCAGCTGGAAGGCCGGGCTGACTGGTGGGGTGACCTAGGGGGTGGGGTGAGGCAGGGCCCAACAGCGGCTGGACCAGAGAGGGTGTGGTTAGAAGTGGAGAGTGTTGAGATCCTCACTGTGGAAATCCAGAGGAAAGAGGATGCGGGAGAGAATGGGGAGGGACGCAATGAGGGGACAAATTGCAGAGGAGGTGCTACTCTAGATGGGGTCGGAGGGTTAAAAAGTAGCAGAGGTCCAAATTAACCATCACTGAGGTCTGAGCCATGGGGGCCCATAGGATGGCTGGGTCACGAAAGAGGTGGGAAACGGGTGGGCAGGTCTCTGTGGCAGTCGAAGACCTGGGTCAGGGCTGCTATGTCTTGACATTCTTACTACTTGTAGAAAAAGGGCCCCACATTTTCACCGTGCCCTGGGCCCGCAGATTGTTTGGCCGGCCTGTGCAGGGTGAGCTTGGCTCTGGATGCCTGGATTGCCGGTCTGTGTGGAATGTCCATGGAATTTCCACGTGGCGGGTTGGGAAGGAGGGTGAGGAAGTGGGTGATCCATCCCGGATGACCACTCAGGGCCTGGGAGAAGATGCTCCATGAGCAGGAGGGGACTGACACTTGGCTGAAAGGTGGGAGCCGTAGGAGGAGGTGCTGGGCCCCTGTGGGATGGGTGCCCAGTTGCAGTCTGCCTGATTCTGCACCCTGGCCCCCCTCACAGGGCTGTAGCAGGTCCCTTCCTCTTCCAGCAGAGTTCAGCCCCACCCCTTCCTGGCCTCCCCTGGGCACCGTGACTGCCCCTGGTCAGATGCCCCAAAGCATTCAGTAGGCAGCTTCCACCTGGACCACTGGCTGGCTCCACCCTGGACTGTGAGCTCTTAAGCGCCTAGCTCCCCTGGAGCACTGGTGTCCAGCACTGTGTGGCCCTTGGTGCTGGCTGAGGGAAGGGGCCTACATTGGACACATCTGGAATACCTCACCTTGGGAAGGGGGCTTCTTCAGACAACCTTGCCAAAGAACCTGCTTCTCCACCCTCAGACTTAGCTCCCCAATGTCACTCCACCTCTGACAACTCCTCCCCATTCCCCACTGATTTACACAAATTACTTTCCAATCTTAAAAACAGAAATGCTGATGTAAAGGTGACATCACAAATAGGTGGGGAAATAACAAATAGTTTGTAAGTGCTGGGGAAACTGGCTCATGATGTGAGGGTCCCCATCTTGCACCACATAAAAAAAATACTCCAAATGGATAAAAGATGTATTTTTAAAAGAAAAAACAATAAATACAGACAGATGTCTTTGAGACTTTGGGCAGGGGATTTATTTATCTTATTTTTAAAGTGTTTATGAAATTCTTAAAATATGTGGACAAGCCCTAACAATAGCATGAAGTACCCACATGCTGACCACCCAGGTTTTTTTTTCATTGTACCTATTTATGGGGTACAGTTTGTTGTTTCAATACATGCATGTATTGTGTAATGAGCTAGTCAGAATAGTTAGCATAGCTATCACCTAAACATTTATCATGTCTTTGTGGTTATAACATTCACGATCCTCTCTTCTGGCTACCTTGAAATATACAATACAGTATTATTAGGTATTGTCACCCTAGAGCACCAGAACTCATTCTTCCTATCTAACCATAACTTTGTCACTTTGTACCGGTCTACCAACCTTCCCCTGTTCCCCACTTTCCCTCCCTTTCCCTGCCTCTGGTAACCACTATTCTACTATTTCTCTTCCTTTTTCTCCTTATTTTATTTTTCTTAATTGACCCTTAATAGTTATATATATTATGGAGTACAATACGATATTTGGGTACATTCATACTGTGTGCAATGATATCAGGGTGTTTAGTGCAGATGTGGTTCATTCATCTATACTGTTACATAATATTTCTTCACTATAGACTACACCTAAGTGATTCAGTTCTTTCTTCAGGGAAATATGAAGACCAGTGCTGCAATGAACACCCTTTTCCTGTTTCCTTGTGAATACATGCAAGTTTCTCTCTGGTAGGTACTGAGAAGTCCCAGATTGAAGTGTACAGACCTCTAGTTGTTCTTACACTCTCTGGAGTTATCTGATAGAGTTTGGATGTATTGTCCTCCTAGAACTTATATGGAAATCTGATCCCCAGTGTGGCAGTGTTGGGAGCTGTTTGAGTCATGGGGGTGGATCCCTCATGAATGGATTAATGCTGTCCCTGGGGGAGGGGGTCCTGAGTGAGATCTCGCTCTTTTAGTTCCCAGGAGAGCTGGCTGTTTAAAAGACCCTGGCACCTTCTCTCTCTCTCTCTCACTTCTGCCTGCCACGTGATCTGCTTGTACCTGCCGGCTGCCTGCCACTTTCTGCCATGAGTAGAAGCAGCCTGAAGCCTGTGCCAGATGCAGCTGTTCCAGAATCATAAGCCAAATAAACCTCTGTTCTTTATAAATTACCCAGTTTCAGGTATTCTGTTATAGCAGCACAAAATGGATTAATACATTATCAAACTTAACTTTTTATTCTGATTGGTGTCAAATGCCGTATTTACACATTTCCTTGATTACCAATGAGGCTGAGCAACTTTGTATATGGAACTGCTTATTCATATTTTGCCCATTTTTCTACTTGGTTGCTATTCTTTTACTTGTTTTTGAGGAATTCCTCGTGTATTCTAGGAATGGATCCTTTATTAGTTACATTCATTCTAAATATATCTTCCAATTTGCTACCCCAAAATTCATATGTTGAAGCCTGCTATGGTTTGAATGTGCTCCCCCAAAACTCATGTTGAAACTCAATCCCCAATGTGGCAGTATTGAGAGGTGGGGCCTTTAAGAGGTGATTGGATCATGAGGGCATAGACTAATGGATTAATGGGTTAATGGATTAATGGGTTATCATGAAGTGGAACTAGTATCTTCATAAGAAGAGAGAGCGAGGCCTGAAAGAGCACATTAGCACGCTAAGCCCTCCTGCTATGTGATGTCCTGAGCCACTATGGGACTCTGCAGAAAGTCTCCACTAGGAAGAAGTCCCTCACCAGATGTGTCCCCTTGACCCTGGACTTCCCAGCCTGCACAACTGTAGGAAATAAATTTAATTTTCTTTATAAACTACCCAGTTTTCGGTATTCTGTTATAAGCAACAGAAAGGGGAGTAAGACAAAGCCCTAACCTCCAATGTGATGGTATTTGGAGATGGGCCTTTGAGAGGTACTCAGGGTTAGGTGAGGTCACAAGGGCATGGCCCTTATGATGGGATTAGTGTTCTTATAAGAGACACCAGAGAGCTGGCTTGTTTTCTTTCTCTGACATATGAAGATACAGCAAGAAGATGGCCATCTGCACACCAGGAGGCAGGCACTCACCAGGAACTGAATCAGCTGGCACCTTGATCTTGGACTTTCATCCTCCAGAACTGTGAGAAAAAAAGTATCTATTGTTTAAGCCATCCAGTCTATGGTATTTTATTATAGCAGCGCAAGGAAGCTAAGACATCAGTCTCCAACGTGTCTTTGTCAAACAGAAGACTTCACTGAAACAAAATATTTTAATTAAGGTATAATTTACATATAGTAAACTTCATCCTTTGTGGTGTATAGTTCTGGGAGTTTTAACAAACACATACCGTTTTGGAACCACCATTACAATCAAGATATAGAACAGTTTCTTTATTCTAAGGAATTCCCATACTCCCAGCCTATACTGATCTGATTTCTGTCTCTATAGCTCTGGAAGGCTTAAATTTCAATGTATTTAATTTTATCATTTTTTTCCTTTAACGGTTTGTGATTTTCATTCTTGTATAAATAATTTTCCTGCTTCAAGGTCATAAAGATATTTTCCCACTTCAAAGTGTTGGGAAAATTGAATAATCAGTTCCCCTAGCCTTAGGTCAGGTTGGGGGTGGTGCAGCATGTTCTTTGTAAGCAAGTTGTGTGTGGGTGGAATTAGTGTGCGCAGCGCGGTTTTTTGCTGGCGTGGACTGCCTTGGGCGTCTGCTGCCCGCAGGCCATGCTCTTGAACCTACGGCTTCCAAAGACCTTTTTGCTGGTTACCTAGCTCATAGACCTGCGTGTGAGGGTCTGGTGACCCAGCCTCGCGTGTGAAGGGTTTGTGACCCAATCTGTGAATGGGCTTGAGCGGTCTGTGAGCTCCAGACCTGGCCCTAGCACAACAATTGGCCCAGTTGGTGCAGGATTACGGGCAGGTAAAAGAGCTCGACACAAGGTCGTAAAGATATTTTCCCATGTCTTCTAAAGTGTTAAAGTTTTGCTTTCCACCTTCGTGTCTTGATTACCTGGTAATTATTTTGTATATAGGGATATAGTTGTGAGGTTTCCTGTGGACCACTGGATTCTTTAAGAAACAGTTCATCCTTTCCTTATGATTAGCAAAGGCCCCAGGGTGAAAATGATAAATTTGACTACAAAATTAAAGATTTCTGCTTAATTTTCCCCATCAGGGGATCCTCACGGATATAGTTCCTGGAGGAGTCACAGGCAGGGAGAAGTTATTTTTAACTTCTGAAACTGATGAGGGATTTTATCTACAGAAAGTCAGAGAACCCAACAAGAAAATAAGCAAGTGCTACAACTAGGCAGTTTGAGGGTGGGCAATAAGAAATGCTGGACCACTCTAGCTCTCAGCTAAGTGCAAATAAGACAATGACGAGATGCCATCTTATGTTCCCTGGACTGCAAAACGGGGAAAATCACATGCAAGGTCTACTATACTTTTGCTGTATTTCCTCCCAGTTTTTAAAAATGTGCATTTTAGGCCTAGCTGGTTAGCTCAGTTGGTTAGAGCGCAGTGTTATAAGACCAAGGTCAAGGGTTCAGATCCCTGTACTGGCCAGGGCACTTAAATGGTGAAGAGGCCCTACCCCTGGGGAGGCACACACATCCTTTAACTTGCATCCCTCAGGTCTCCTGACCCACTTTTCCTTCCATGGGCCAGACAGGTCCACACGGCCAGGAATTTGCTGTGTCACTGTATTAGTCCGTTTGTGTTGCTAATAACAAAATACTTGGAACTGGGTAATTTATAAAGAAAACTAAATTTATTGCTTACAGTTTCGGAGTCTGGGAAGTCCAAAGTCCAGGGAACACATCTGGTGAGAGCCTTGTCCTGGTGGTGACTACAGCAACTCAGGGTGTCACGTGGTGAATATGGCAAAGCAGAGAGAGCCATATTCTGTGCTCTTTTTTTTTTTTTTTGTGACCGGCAAGGGGATCGCAACCCTTGGCTTGGTGTCGCCCGCACCGCGCTCAGCCAGTGAGCGTACCGGCCTTCCCTATATAGGATCAGAATCCGCGGTGGGAGTCCCGCTGCGCTCCCAAGCGCTGCACTCTCCCAAGTGCGCCACGGGGCCGGCCCCTGTGCTCTCCTTTTAAAGCCCTCAGAACCATACCCATGACCACTTAATCACCTATTCAAGGCCCCACCTCTCAACCATCATAATAGGATTTCCCACCCTCAACAGTCACAGTGGGGATTAAGCTTCAGTAAATTTGGGGGGGACATTCAATCCACTGCAGTTGACTACCCAGATAGTCTTTATCTTCTCTGTCTTCCCCTACAGGATAAAGGTCATGAGGAAGGGGGACCGGCCCGGTGGTGCACTGGAGAGTGCGCCGCTTGGGAGCGTGGCGGCGCTCCCGTGGAGGGTTCGGATCCCATGTGGAGACCGGTTCCCGCTCACCGGCTGAGCGCGGTGCGGGCGCAACACCGAGGGTTGCGATCCCGTTGCCGGTCAGTAAAAAAGACAAAAAGGAAAAACGAACGACAGGAACTGACACAGTTAATTAACATACTGCTCCTGACTGTACACTTGGAAACAGAGGTTCAGCTCCTCTCGTTCGTGCCAAAGCTGGTTATGAAACCATATCTGGTGCTGGTGCCCACGTGTGTAAAAGTACGAGTTCATACTTTCGCCTGATACATTTCACGACAGGCTAAATTTAGCACCCGCCCCGGGGCAGCTCACCTGCTCCTGACATGATCCCGTGTGGCGTCCCCTGTCCCTCTGACGACAGGGACACCTACAGACACAGAGGTAAGTCGTGGAAGACGGCCACAGAGCTTGGGAGATTGACTGTAGACTGGCGATTAATACTGCACATCATATTTTAAAAACCTTTGTCCCAGGTTCAAAAGAAGGTCTCATTTCACCCGCGTCCCTCTTGCTAGAAGTGAGATGGATCGCATTTTAGGGGCCCTTACACTCCGGATGGCGACTGTGCAAGTCAGGTTCTGCCTCTGCCGATCTCCGCGCGCGACCTCGGGCAAGACCCGGTCCAGATAGGCGCGGTGCGCGCGCGAGGCACGCGCGCGTCCAGCTCGCCGCCGCGGGCAGTCGGGACTGCGTTCCCCGCCTACCGACCTGCGAGAGCGCTGTACCCGGGAAGGACCTGGCCCCTGTGCGCATCTGCCCACTTGGGTTTATCGCTCGCCACTCGGCGCCGTTGATTCGTCCGCCCGGCGCGTGGGTCGCCGCTGCACCCGCTCGTGAGTTTGCGGTGGTAACAAGTGCCAAGGCCTGTCCTCGCGCGCCCCTCACCGCTGACGTCACGCCCGCGCTCATGGCCTCCGAGCACCCCCGCTCCCTGCGCCCGAGGCTCGGAATCCGGTATGGGACCCACGCGAAGGGCCGGGCGTCGGGGACAAGCCAACCATCCTGTCCTGTCCGACCGCCCGGTGCCTGCCTTTATAGCAAGCCGGCCAGGGGCGGGGCCACGAGGCGCGCGACGTGCTGACGTCAGGCCGCGGGGGCGGGGCCGGGGCGGCGGCGCTCGGGTACCCTAGGCACCGGTTCTCCTTAGTCTCCTTAGCCGCTTCGGCCTCTTCGTCCTCCTCGGCCTTTTCCGCCTCTTCCGCCTCCCCCTCAGCCCCTCAGCCCCCGTCCCCTCAGCCCCCGGCAAAGCTTCCCAGGCCTCGGCGCCTTCCCCGGCCGCGCGCAGCCATGGGCCCGCGCCCACCGTGCCGCCGTGCCGAGGGCAGCTGAGGCGCGGCGTGAAGATGGGCGAGGGCAGAGCAGGGCCCGAGCGCCA